GTGCTCCTCTAAAAGACTGGTACTTTATGCCTGTGTAATCTTCACTTATTTGCAGTTAATAAACATATATGCATATGTGATTTAGTACATCAACTGATGATATATGAAAAAATACATCTACTGCAAACTTTTGAAAAGTACAGTTGTAGAGGTAGTTCATTGGAAGTTATTACATTTTATGCAAAGTAAGGAGAAAAATTGTTAAATAATGTTCTGGCTATGTATCCAGAAAGTGAACACTTGGCCTCACTTACTCAACAAGCAACAGCAAAAATAGAGTGTTGTGTTATAGTCACAATATTGAGTCATTGGTTTAGAACATCAGTAGTTAAAATTGTCTCATTTTTCCTTCTAAGAAAGGAAAGAGCTGACTGATGTATAATGTTTGTTTTGTTTATGGCATTATATTTTTAGCTTTCATTTAGTTTCCACTCCATGTTTTCAGTAGAAACCAAGTTAATTTAGGCTGTGACTGAATTTTGTCTTAACAAAGAATTCCATCGATCCAGTTTAAGACCTGTTGTCACAGAGTCTGGTAGAAAATAACAGCTTCCAAATATGCCCAATGAAAGAGATAGTTGCATGTATCTGTGTGTGTATATATGAACACAGATAAAAAAGTGAGAAAATACGTCAAAATTCTATATATAAATACAATGTAAGAATAAAGTCTTATTATTTTGAACCATTATAACTGAAAGTTCATGTGCTTTGTGTGAATGTCTCATTGGTTGATAGAGCCCAGGAGCAAATAAAATCTCAGTCAGGAGCTGTATTTTTCTGTTTAATGCTGCAACAGAGAAGGGTCCCTATGCAGCTGGTTTTTGTCTGTTATGTCTCCCTCTTTTCTCCATTTGTTCAGTCTCAATGCTAAGTAAGTGTTAGGAAAAAGTGAAACTTACAATCACAAAAATAAAAAGGATTTTGAACAGCAAAAGAAAACTTCTGCTATATAGCAGTTTCTCCACACACCCGGCCAAGCTCTTAAAATAATAGAAAGCAAATGTTACATCATTAAAAAATAGAGCTTTTACTCTTCCTTCTTTACATTACATTTAAGCTTTAGTTCAGCAACTTGCAATGTCAGCCCTCCAGTCCTTGATCCAGTAACCCCTAATAAACCTTTGTGCTGATCAGTGGAGGAGGTGAATGTACATAGTATGCAGTAGCTTAACTCTCTATGAATTTTGTGAATTAACATCCACTGTGTCTCCCTGCTGGCTCAGAACAAGTTTTCATTTAGTGACGCTTTCAGTCTGACAATCAAAATTCTGCTGGTTGCTCTGTTTTGTCCTTGGGTACTAGACTAGTGAGGCTGTCACTGCTTTGAAATTTCATCTCTCTCCATGCTTCTGTCCGGGAGGATTTAAAATTGTACTTTGGAGTGCTGGGGGAGAATTTGTTGGTGAGAACGGGTGGATAGGTCCTGTTGGTATAGTGCTTTTCTGCTTTTGGTAATTGTTTTTTTACAATGCATTGAAAATATATTGTGCTTTTACCATTTAAAATATCAATAGAAAAAATTTCTTGTTATAAATATTAAGTTTGTAGTTCATTATTTTAACTGTGAAAAGCTGATTAGCTCTCTTTTCACCAAGTTGTTTGGTTGTCATGTCATATTTCATTCTTACTGTAAGAAAGAAAGCAATATCTTTGCTTTAGAGAATGTACATAAAAATGTGATTTGAAAAATGATTGGTTTTCCAGGAAATTAAATTTGGCTTGTCTTCAGTTTTCCTGTCCAAAACTGATGCAGTAACGATGAATAGCAATTACAGAATATATTTGTGCCACCAGTTACTATATTTGCCAAGTATGGTACTGATGGTCGGTGTAATGTAGATTTTGGTATTATTGTGTGTCTAAGTATCTGCAGGTATTGTTGTCGGTGCCTGAATATAAAACAGCTGCAGATTTTTTTTATTGCACAATCATTTAAAGCTTATACCTGCATGTTTTAGGATTCTGATGATAGTCAGGGTAAGCAGTGGTCGGGAGTTTGAGTATTCCCTTGTGTCGGGTGCCTTGCTTGACACACCTGATCTGGTCCCAGAAGTGTGGAAAGCCAGACAATTCCTAAACCAACGCTTTTGATTTAAATGGCCACCAGAGGTTGCTGCAGAACGACAGATGTGTCAGGGGGATAGATTTTGAATTCAAAGCTGAATCCTGAACTTAGCAACGAATCACCCAGTTCAACTTCTGATGTGATTATATTCCTTTCAAATGGAGTTGAAGCGGGGATTAACCCTGACTTCTTGTATACGTTTATTTCACCATACAAAAATATACTTCTCTGTGTGCTGGTATAATTGTGGGGACCAAAATGCATTGGTTCAATGTCCATGTTTCTGTAACTTTGTATGAAGGAGGTTCTTAGAGTGAAAATTATTTTTTCTAGTATGTACTTGAACAGCACTTGACACTTTTTAAAAAATGTTAAAGCATTTTTTAAATGAATTTTAAAATATCAAATGCGGTTCTTCGTTATGTATTACTCATGCTTATATTTTTGATCAGCTCAATAAACATGTACATTATGGGAAAAATTAGCTTCATAGTTATACACATGTAAGAGGTCTTAAATGGTTCAGTATGTGTTAGAAACAATAAAATTAGATCAAGAATTAAACCTGAAAAGCATGTGAAAAAAGTCATCTGAAAGAATATACTCAAGAGGCTAAATGGTAGGAAGTGTGTGGCATATTTGTAATAACATAACATCACACATAAATATATGCTATTTTAGTCTTTTCAGAAAGTATGCTGTGGCAAAAGTGTGTTAGACTTTCGGATGCATAATATTGAGCACTTTGATTGTTTGTTTAGAACGTAATAATACTTTAAGCACCTTTGGTTTTTACCTTAATGTCTCTTTCTGAAAGTCTGTAAACTGATCCTTACATGAGTTAAAATTATGTTTTCGTGTCTAGGACTTGCACACTGAATTATGCTAAGTGAATTTCTGTGTTTGGAAAGCAATAGGAAAGTGCACTTTCTGATTAAGCACAGTTTCCATATACTCCCTCACAAGAATGAAAGCTGTAATTTTTCTAAATATCAGTTACAGCTAATAAGTTACTCTGTGTGTGTGTGTAGAACAAGTAGGATAGTGTATAAAGAATTCAGCAGCAGTCTGTCAAAGCTATGACATTACACTAAGTGAAGATACAAGTGCTCCGTGCAGATCAAGTCAAAGAAATGCTGGTAAACCCTTTAAAGCCACATCATCATTTACGATGCATATGCAAAAAAAACCCCAAACCAAACACCCAGAAGAAAATATTTAAAGCATATTTTATCCAAGAAATTAGATGGAAAAAGTTCAGGTGGAGCTTTAGAAAAACCAAGAAATGAGAAGTAATTTCTCTCTAACTAAAATTTAGCTACTGAATCACTCTTGCATCGTCCTGGGGCTTAGAAACTAGTGCCTCATTGCATTTGGGAAGAGGCTATTCCTTTCTTTGTGTTATGCTCTGCTACCTGTACTACTGGGCTGTGGGCTGCAAACCAGTTAAGTCTGCTGACATTCAGCATACAAAGACCGTCACACAAGAAGCAGTGTCCATGTGAAACTTGAGAATGTGTAGTTTCTGAGGATGGAAAATCTATAGAAAGGTGTTAGGAACAGGACCACTTTTTTCATTCCTTCTTAAGATATAACAATGGGATTTGGAAAATTGGAGTAATTCCTTGGACAGATAACTGTTTATAGGAAGTTTGCTCTTAATTGGAGTTTGTGGGTTTTAAAGAGTTGGGCTGGAGTTCAGGGACATGTTGTTCAAGGGCAAGAGAGCTTAGTCCTGTGTTCAGCATTCACATATGGCAGTAATGAGGAGGGGCAAGTATTTGGTTAAAATATTTTTTTTATTTAAAAGTCAAATATCTCCCTCTTAAAAATTGGGTGGTGAGAATCACTAGTACATTATTTTCAGTAGAACAGAATACACATTTTTTGTGTTTCATATATCATATAAAAGACCACTTTGTCTCTAGGAGAGCTCCTCGAAATCTAAGCTACAGATTTAGCAAAAAGAAGTCCCAGCATTTGTGTTCGTGGGCTATTAATTTACTGTTTCTAAAGCCGTGGCAAACATTTCATATCAAATCTCTCAAAATAAAATCAGGTATCTCCAGAAAGACTTCTATGGATGTGTAACAGTTGTTCCAAGGTGTCACCAGACAGTTAATAATCCCAGTAATTCATGTCTTCGTTTCACATTCAGAAAAATGGGGAAAATGTGTTTCTAAACAACCTAAAATAAAGGAGAGAGAAATCAAAGTTTTGGTGTGTAGATATATAAAATTATATATGTGTGTACATGTATATTTCCCATTTAAAATCTTCTGCACAGAAGTGTGTGCTAGCTGTGCCATTGGCCGGGGCAGGGATAACAGAGCATACATACAACTGCGTTTCATATACACTGATAGCACAATTTCCTTAGTTGTGTGCATTCTTGAGTTACGTGCTTCTCTTTTAGCTAGCTAATTAAGAGCCACTTTTGTCTGTATTTAAGGTAATAGTAGCAAAACTTCCATTAGCTGAAGGTATGAGCCCTTTTAGCAGGTATGCCACTGACAAATCAGTAAAGGTTTTTCTTACCTACTGCTTTATCCTTCATATTGAGTCTTAGGGATGGACTAAAGGGCTTCCAGCAAAGAAACTTAGCATGTTGAAAGACCTGCATAATAGAGATGAATGTGTGCACTCCATGCTTCAGTATCTAGGCGAACCACTATGAACCCTGAAAGATTAAGCATAATTAGTCTGCAAAGGAGCATGGTCTCAAGTCTAGGAACAGAGCAACAAGTAATGAGGCCAGGCTGGACTAGAACAAGCAGCAGAAATTTATCTTTGAAGAGGAAATTTAGTTAATTTTCCTATTTTGAAGTAGAAGATGATTGCTTGAATTAAAATGCTCTCAGGAGAATGTTCGTATGTCTTCACATATGGTGGTCCGTATTTCTATGCCTTATTTTATTTGCCTTGCCCACAGGAAATCCATCTTGCTTTTCTGAAATGGCTCGAGGAAAATGTAGATGCTGAAGGATTAAGACAATCTAGCAAGGTGTCTCTCAAATTTGTTTCATCTTGTGAATCAAAAATGGAGGTAACTCCATCTCTCATGCCAGTCATCACTGACGTGGGAAGCTTCTCATCAGAACATTTCAGCCTCAAGACGTATCAACAGAATCTTCAAACAAAGAAGCTTGGAAAGATTCTTCTTTTTACTGAAGTTACCACAACAACGATGAGTCTTCTAGACGGGTAAGATAGTGGTCTAGACCATACTGAATAAGCTTTCTGATCTGGAATTCACAATTACAGTAACACACAATCTTCAGAAAGAAACATTTTTCTCTTTGGCCTATTAGTTGCCTACAAGCCAGCCAAAGTTAAAAAAAGCTGATTTTTTCTCTTACTCCTTTTACTGAATATTTCACTAAAATGCTCTTTAGTGGTTTGTTGGGTTTTTTTAAACATAAATTTAAACATCTAGCAGCTGTGCTAGACGTACTTTCATCATCACATAGATGACCCTTGTGAATGAGTTGTGGGATACGTCTGAGAAGGTAGTTCATTAGAGTTTTGAATGGGATTAAGCGATATGAAAATCACAGTTACTAAATCTTATGTTGGAGTCTATGTACAAAGACTATACTGTTATATTTCATGAAATAGCCTGATGGAAAAAACTGTCCTTGGGAAATTGTTGCTCTTCAGGACAGATTTTTCTATGTGTGTTTCTACTTGCAGCTGTAACTTTTCTTGACAGCTACTTTTGAGTATCAGTGTTAATTTATCTGCAGAAATTGCAGATGAATTTTACTGTTGAAAATAACCTCAGGAATTTTGTTCTGTATTTTTTTTTTTTAATCATCATCAGTTAAGTCATCTTGAATGTTGTAACTGGTTAGTTAACCAGCAATAATGGCTTTAGTTCTTAGCTATGGAGCCTAAATTGTGAGACTAATATAAGGTACAGAATATGACTTCTTGCAAGTAATAGAGGTGATTTGTTTTAGAATATATACACACAAAATCTGAGAATGAAGATGCATTATAACAGTATTAAAGTAGATCTGTTTGTAGTCTTACAGTTGACACTGTCATAGAATTTACAAACTATAATTTGTGCTAAAATATTGCAATTTAGAGGTAGTTGGAATCAAATACTAGTTTATTTTAATTCCAGACTATTCTCTGTCTATGCATATGTAGTCATGTGCACACACATTAAAAAAGTGTTGCCATCTAATTTTACCACTCCCTTTCCCCCAGATCTACATCCTTGTCCTGCAAATGATTTCGCAATGGCTTTTGGACATAGACAGACAAGCTAGTTTGATAAGAGGCCACAAAAAAAAAAAAAAGTAATTTTATAGAAGCATTTGTAGCATTTGCTTCTTAATTTTTAGTATTCACAGTGTGTTCAACCCATTGGATTGAAAGCCGAAGTACTGTGAAGCAACCAACAAAGTCATGATTTAATAGGTCAAGACTTTTCTTTGACAGTTGTTTTTGGTGGTGGTTCTCAGTAACATTATTCACACATCTTGCTAAGATGAAGTGTATGATTCAGAGTTTTGTGAATTTATTTAGATATCACAAACTAAATAGAATCATGTCTGTCCATTTTGTATATGAGTAAATTATCAAGAAAGGCAAGGGAGCCAAGAGAAGTGGTCTTGGTTTTTCAGTGACTGTGGAGCCTTTACTCTCTTGTCTTTAAAGTGATGTACCAGCAGGGTGGTCAGCACACAGGTTGCTTTTTTACACTAAGTAACCCAAATGTAATGAAGTGTTTGCAGATGTAGGTCTTCAAGATTTTCCCCATCATGATGCAGCTCAAGTAGTTAGTTTTCAGGTAAGATGTGAACTAGAAGTCCTGGCTCTAAGTAGCTTACACGGGGAAGATGATCCTAGTCAGATTAAAATTTAAACATTTATATTTATCTTACAGAAAGACCTTTTTTAAAATAAGTTAAAATCTTTATCTTAAGTATTATGGTTGGTCTTATTGTAAATTCTTGTAATGGATAATAGAATAATGTAGTCCATGTGAATTGCAATTTAGCAGAGTACCTTGAGACTTTACAGTTGATACCATTTCGGAAATCGCTAGAAATTGATACAAATTTTTATTGAAGAAATAATTTGTCAGCTTTTTAAGGTACTTCCAAATAAACCAATATAAATTTTTTAGGTACCTCTATGTCATTGCCAATTCTGAATGAGAGAAAAACATATCTCAGGAAAAAAGAGTTTCTTTGTTTGAACAGAAAATAGGTACCTATTTATCATTTGTGATGCATAGAATAAAAATCGCAATACCCTGTTTGTGTAATCATATATTGCAATAAGCACGTTACATGATAGACTCTCTTAGGTCTCTCAAATTTTACCGAGTTTGTGATGATTGAAAATATGATAGACACCTCAAGAACTTGATTAGTGTCATTAGTAGTAAATTTAAGTTAGTAAATTATTTAGTTAGTAAATTATAAATAAATTTAGCATTTAACTTTCCTGACTTTAGATTTTCTTACACCTTTCCCACCAACTGAATGTAAGACTTTTGTCTTCTTTTCCACTTCCCCAAACCTTCATACCCCCCAAAAATTAAAACGTGGAAGGAGAAAGTGGGCTGGAACTAATTTAATGGCTGAGCGACCTCACAGTAGAGAAACAGCCGGAGCCTAATAGGGGTCTTTGTCTGCATTTCCACCCTGGCTGGTAACGTGCCAGTCAAAAGTCAAGCAAGAGAAACAGGTGGAAACTATTAGACCTGTCATAAAGTTTGAAAAATTGATTCTGGAGGCTAAGTGAATAGATTGAACTTGACAGTGTTGTCCTAAAGATTCTAAGGGAAAATTCTGTAGTTTAATTTGAGATCCCTTGATTGTTCATTAGATCGCCAGATGGCAGGTCTTGGCAGTTTGCATATTAACGTACACACTGTATTATCACTGGCATATGTTTGTGTCCTAAGGTAACAAGCGAATTATGAATTCACCTGTAGGTATCTAAAATTAAATGGCGTTAATCTAATTGTAAAATAAAGATTTATTTAAATGTCATATAGTTTTAAGTGATCAATATTGCTTTTATGATTTCATGTTAAAAACTTTATTTGAATAATTTGAGACTACTTTTAAAAGTATTTCCATTTTTATTTCTTAGACTAAAATTTAAAATCCTTACCAAAGATTAGAAGCTCTCTTGTTTTTTCTCTAAAAGCAAATTCTTTCAGAAGTTTCGTTTCAGAAACCTTGTCTTCAAAGATATTTATCTTAATGCCACCCAAACAGGTTAACCTTGCCAGAAGCAGTTCCACTTCTTCTCTCTTCTCAGAGCATGCCTGGGATTACATGATTCAAGATGAAACCATTGTTTTTGAGGATGCACCTGGTATAATGATACAAGTGTTACAGTGTAGAAACATACTTATTAAACACACAGGACTTGAGATTGATAAAGAAATATTTCTCTCATACTCTAATTGGCTGGAATGGTTTCACAAGCATTTCATTAAAAATAAATTAATTTGATACATCTGTCAATTTTATTCTTTACCAGCACCTTGTATTCTGTTTTAATGTTTTAGTTGGCAGAAGATTTGATTTATACATGATTAAGCCAGCATGAGATATATTTTATATGAAATGCCATTGTGAATCCCTTTTCCCCAATATTTAAGAAACACAAAGCGTAGTTGTGAGGAAGAGTTTGACACAAAAATGGTGAATTTTAGTGGAAATGAAATGTGGGATGAAGTTGCTTTCATAATTACTGAATAGGATATTTAAATAAAATGTCAGCTTAGAATAAACATGTCCAAACAGTTAAAAGCTTTGAAAAAGAAAATCCTTTACAATGTTGGTGCCCTTTTAGTTTTTCTTTATGCTTTTCTAAACTGGTATTGTTGATTTTTTTAAAGTTGTACTACAGCTCTAATTTGGAAAGTGAGTAATAGGACTCATTTTATTGTAAAACTGTTGTTTTAGTTGTACTCAAATATGTGTGCTGCTAATGCAGTATGAGTTAGTGAAAGGTAAGAGTATTGTATAAATGAAGGAGATTGGCATGGTACTTTAGAGGAATAAGAGAACGAGTTGAGACTGGCAAACTGTATTTTGTGATTTGTGGTTTTTTTTTTTTTCCAAATCCTTGTGATGTTGTACCCTATGCAAACACAATGGCCTCGAATTTAGTCATTCCATGCACCTTGGTGATCTCTTATTCTCTGTTTAAACTATATTTTTAAAAAACACAAATTAAAATCAGATAAGTTGTGGGGAGTGGGCTGAAATGTGGTTTTAAGATAGAAACTTGGCATTAACGTGGCCTTTGCAAAATATGCCAGTCACAGAGCTTGTGTTCATTCCGTCATCAGGCATGCCTGTTTAAAGCCTCCCCCGTCAGATACTTGCCTCAGAATTCTGCTAGGACTCTAACTACAAGCCAGAATTATTCTTCTTACAACTATTGGCTCAACTTGATCAACCATTTTCTTAAAAGCTATGAAGATTGTTTACTACTTTTAATATTATTTTAGCTAGCCATGTCTCATAATCTAGGCTCAGGTGGGTGGAGGAAGCCATTTTGCAGTAATAGTCAAAGCCAACTGTAAGCTGCATCACTGAGCTTCTGGTTTCCTCTCTTGAAGGTGTATGGGTTGTTGGAGTACAACGTCTTCAAAGAGTAATCTTTGTCTTTTTAGCATGGTGAGACTATCCTAGTACACTGTCTGGTATAAATAAATGTTTTATCACCAGCAATAACGTTTTGTAAAAATTAGCCCCTGACAGCCTTCTCCCTCAAGAATGCATGTTGGAGAGCTGGAAAATACCATGGTGGAAGGAAGCCTTTCTCTCAGGAAACAGGCATTGCTGTTGGATATTTTAAAAACGTGTGCTGACAAATTGGTCTGTTGCATTTAAATGGTGTATGCATTTTATACATAATCTTTTCTACAGATACATAACCAAAAATATTTTATCATTTTGGATAACGAGTACTTCTTCGTGGAGAGAGCTCTCACAATAGTTCATATTGCTTTTAAAAGCTTAAATCCCTTGGCTTTGTTTGTTTGTTAAACTGTAGTGTGGGATAGGAATGCTTTGCCTGATGAATGCCTAACCTAAAAACTAAAGTTAGATACTAGTGGTGATAGACCTGCTCTTTAAGGAATTTTATGCTTTTGATCTACATCTCTCTCATTTAATTTAGACTCAATATAATATAGTCTTCCTTTGTTCTTTATG